TCGACCCCCCGAGGGCCCGGCCCGGCCCGCCCCGCCCCGCCAGGGGATGCGGCCCCTCGGTGCGCAGGAGCTGCAGCGCGACTTGGGACCGGCGCAGCGGGAGGCCGCGCTGTCCTCTCGCCTCTAGCTCCGGCCTGGGAAGGGCCCGGTCTGTCCGTCCGTCCGTCCGCCTGCCCGTCCTTCCTTCGGGCGACCTCGGATGCAGCGCCCTCCTCGCCCCGTCCGGAGGTGGGGGAGACGTGCCCAGGGGCACCGGGCATGGGACGCCGACCCCTCCGTCTGCGCAGGGGAAACAGGGCGATGACCCCTTGGTTTGCACAGGGAAAATAAGGTGCCGACCCCTTGGTTTGTACTGGGGAAATAGGACGCCAACCCCTTGGTTTGCACAGGGAGACTGCGAAATGGGACACCGACCCCTTGGTCTGTGCAGGGAAAATAGGACGCCGACCCTTTAGTTTGCACAGGGGAACTAGGAAATGGGACGCCGACCCCTTGGTTTGTGCTGGGGAAATGGGACGCCGACCCCTTGGTTTGTACAGGGGAACTAGGGAATAGGATACCGACCCTTTGGTTTGCACAGGGGAACTAGGAAGTAGGATGCCGACCCCTTGGTCTGTGCAGGAAAATAGGACGCCGACCCCTTGGTCTGTGCATTGAGACTGGGAAATGGGACGCCAACCCTTTCATCTCTAGCTCTTCTACGAAAAGAAAACGAGCCCGTCTCCTGTCCCGTGCTGGAGGGAAGCCGAGGCACGGGGCTCGCAGGAGCAGGGGATAGAAAACCCGGTGTTAGGGGAGTCTGTGTGTCCTCTGCACTGTGAGCTCCAAGCTTTGGACTTTCAGCCTGCAAACCCCCCACCTTGCAGAGTTTCTGGGACCTGGAACTTCTTTGTTTTTAAATGAGCAGCCTGCTCTGCCGAACATCTGTCTGAGGCTGTGCTGTGAGTCACCAGTTGCTCAGCCCTCCAGCTTTCCAGGCATCACACCAAAAAGATGTGACACAGCCTGCTGCTAAACTTCTTAAAATGCATGTCTTAAATGGCAAGGTTGTCCTTAGACCAACACGGCTACAACCTGCGTCTTAAATGGCAAGGTTCTTTGAGTAGATGTGATATCTGTTGTTAGAGCAACTGAGTATTCGTTGCCAGACATCTTAAATGAATTTTCTGTTAGACCTGACAGCGCAGATCTTGGCTGCCCTCCCCTCGCCCCGTCCCAGGTCTCTGTGCTGTGTGTCATGTGCATCCAGCTCTTTGCCAGGCGGGGCTGAGCTGTTTGTAATGAGGCTGGATGGACAAGAGCATGCTGGAGCAATTAGTAATCAAAACTCAAGGAGGCCAAGTGATCCTAGATTTTGAAACTCCCAGCATTAAATGAGACTTATTTTCTGCCCATGTGTAATGCTTTATCTTTTGCTTTAGATGCATACGTTTTTCTGGCTGGTATCCGATGGCCTCTTCATCTTCTGGCTCTTTTGCCTTTCAGCTTCAATACCAGGAGCTGTTAAAGCCCCTTTTTGTTCAAGACACCACCTCTGTTGCTTCTAATCTAGTTGTGTATCAGTCCTCAGCTGTGCTTTTCTCTACCCTGTTCTGCGGTGTCTGAAAGCACGGTGTAAAGGTGGGAGCAGGGAGTTAGAAGTCTGGAGGAATCCTGTCTTTTGCCCCTTGTTTTTCTGCCGCTGATTATTGACACTGGCTTGTGGTGTTGGCTGAGGTTAGTCAGACAGAGCCCAGCCCATCATCTGGTTATCTCCCATCAGGTGCCTGCGCCCATGCAGATTCTCATCGACTTAGCTGGGGCTCTGTAAAAAGCTTGCAGAATGGGGGCCTTTGTACTTTGTCTGGTCGACATGTATTGTGAAACCTACATTCATTAGAGCCTCCTAAAGTTGCTTTGCAAAAGCAAATTATAGTAGGGATGATGTTGTTTTCCTAATATTGCACTCCTGGTCTGCTTCCTGTCAAATACCCCCCCCTTCCCGTTTTACTCCCTCTGGGTCTCTTCTCTAATTACTGGCATGTTTGCTTGTTTGAGATAGCTTTGCCACTGAATCATTTGTCTCATTTTATTTTCTGTTCTCAATTTGCATTTGAAATAATGCCTTGCTCCTTTTTTTATCCTCCTCGCTGATTGTGAATTCTGTGTGGGGGTGGGTTTTTCCGTCCTCTCTGTATTCTGGAATTTGCAAGAAAGGAAAAAGGCAAGACACCAGAGTCAGGGAAATCCAAGGGAGTTGTGCTGTACCAAATAGTTAAGTAACTATTGTTAGAAGAAATCGCACGCACTAGCAATTGAATAATGGATGATTACTCTGCAGTGACCGATAAGGTCAGTTTTGCTGTAGGTGACAGGGCACTCGATTAGGAATGCATGTTAAAACACAAGATGAGTAAGTTTTGAAACAGCTTGAATTCCTAAAACAGAAAGCATCTAAGCTCTTGAATGTACTTTCTGCCATCTGTGCCATTCACTCTCTGGTACTATTTTTAGATCGGAGAAACAAAATCGATCTGTTGGTTTCATATTTTAATTCTCCTGCACTGGCACAGGACTTCAGTTTGGGTTGCAAGTACTGCATGGGTGTTTACATCCCAGCATAAAATCGACACTGGAGGGAACGTAGGTGCTCTTAGACGTGAATTCCGCCTGGTGTATGTTAGCACAGTGCTGGAGCTTGACTTGGCTTGGGCTCCTGGGGCTGTGTTGCAGCATCAGTGATTCAGTTTTGTTTATCAAGTTATCATTTGTGGAAACGCATCTATTGACTTCGATCATCTTCTCGTGTCTACACCACATTTGACCATTTTGTTGCACGTGCTTGTGCTTGTTTATTGTGTGTGTGCCTTCAAGCAGCAGGTGTTGCATAGTCTGAGGCTCTGTGCTGCAGTCACAGGCGGTTGAACCAGTGGTATAGCCTCACTTCTTCATCAGTTCTTGGGAGCGTCTGACTCCTGTACGTGGGTGGTTGAGATATTGCCAGCATTGCTGTGGTTCATCAGCCCCTGGGGGCAAGAATTGGGCTGCTGGAATGTCCATTTTTCCACTGTCGGGTATTTTCTTCAGCCTTTCGTTCCACATCTGTAGTCGTGTCTCCTTGGGTGCGGCATCAAGATGTTGGATGCTGGTGAAGAAGCTCCTGCGTGACTTCAGACATTTGTGTGCTGCCGGATGGTCGTACAGCAGGTGTCTTGCCTCTTCAGTTAGTCTCAATCGTTCCATCCTGCTGGCCACTGCTCTTTGATGTCAGGCAGAGCGAAGCCAGCCAGCGGGTGCACACTGTTTAGGCTGGTAGGCTTCAGGCATCCTGTGACGCATCGGCAGCTATGGTTCAGAATGGGGACGAGGTGCTTAGTGTGTATGGATCTCTGCCATACAGGCCATGCGTACTCGGCAGAGGAGAAGCTGAGAGCCAGGGCAGCGGTTCGGGTGGCTGAGAGGCTAACTCCCCGTTTTGAACCGGTGAGCTTATGTAGAATGTTGTTCCGAGTGCTCACTTCTTGCTTTTGTCTTTGTGATGTGTTCTTTGTATGAGGGGGTCCCCCCGAGGGCGGCTCCAAGGTAAACTGGATTTGGACAGTAGGAGAGTGGAGCCCCAGACCATGTAATGTTGTTCTGGCCATTGGCCTCATGGTTTTTTAGATGGAAGGCACATACTTGTGTTTTCACTGGGTCAGCACATAATTAGTTTCCAGCGTAGTATGAGCTTAGGCCAGTTAGTGTCTCGCGTAGGGGGGTTTTCAATTTGGTCAAAGCCAGTGTTTTGGACTATTATGCACAGGTCATCTGTGTAGGTGAAACGTTTTGTTTCCAAATCAATTGGCTGGTCATTCATATAGATGTTGTATAGCAGCAGAGCAAGCATGCTTCCTTGAAGAGGCCATTAATCTGTTGCCTCCATCTGCTTCACTTCCCATCCAATTTGACAAAAAAAAAAAGTCTGTTTTCAAGCAGGGTTCATATCAGCTCTGTAAGTCGTAGATCTTTCTTCATTTCCAGGGTCTTGTGGTGGAGTCGTTGGTGGTTAACTGTATCATAAGCAGCTGTTAGGTCGACAAACAGAGCTCTGGCAATTTAGCCTCTTTCAAAACTGTCCTGGGTATGTTGAGTTAGATTGAGCAGCTGGCGCATTGTTGGGAGTTTTTTTTTTTTGTTTTGTTTTGTTTTTTATTTTTTGTTTTTTTTCCAGGGCGAAAGCCACCCTATTTAGGGATTAGGTGTTTACCCATGTATGGAGCAAGCTAGTTCAGTATCAGTTGTTCATACAATTTGTATGTGGCATAGCAGAGAGAGAGGTTTGAAGCTCTTCAGGTCAGATGGATCTTTCCCTGGATTTAGAAGTGCCACTCTCTGAGCATGTTACTATATCTTGAGAATTTTTTGACTGGCTGCGCATGAGTTGTATAAGCAGAGGAGCCCTGCTTGAGTCTAGGGTCCAAATTGCTTGATTTGTTGGGTAGTATGTCATGAAGGTCGGCTGCTTTCCCAGTCTTCAGTGTGTTAATACCAGCATTCAGCTCTGTCATTTAGAAGGGACTTGTAAAACCCAGGTGTTTTGGATACTTGTACCTTTCCAATCTGAGATTTTTTTTGTTTGTTTTGGGATTTGGGGCTTTATCCATCGAGAAAGCAGCTGAGAAGCAATTTGGTTAGTGGTGACATGATGTTGATCTACCTTTTGCAGGTTGTCACTTAGTTAAGATATTGTCGCCCATGCCTTTTTACTATTATGCGTCATATCAGTTGACTCAGTCAGGCTCTGCCGGGATTTCCTGCGTTGTTCTGTGGTGACTAACATGAGCTCCTTGCCTGTAGGGATGGTGTTTGCAGAAAAGGGTCTAGTTCACTAGTTCATACTGTTTGTTGCCTGTAGTCTTTGTATAGACCAGTGGTTTGCAAAGGGAGGCCTGGGATGTAATTTATGTGGCAGCCCTGCAGGATGTTCTTCCTTGCAGATTTCTGTACAGCTTTTATGAACTGGTCATAGTTCTCAGGCAATGCTTTGATGGTTTTGACTGTGGCACTTCTTGCCAATGGTGCTGTACTGTACCACCAGCTGGCACCAACCACTGACCTAATTGCTCACATGTAGGTAATATGAACACATGGGATCATCATGTGCTGTCATTTTTTGTCTCTGCTAGTCCCATGCCCGTGAACAGAGGCTGAAGCTGCCAGGAGCTTTTCTTTCTAAGGCTTTCAAAGTACCAAGGCACAACTTTCTTGTG